TATTGAGTATCCATTGATCATGCACTGTCTCGTCTCGGTACTCTTAAAATGTTTTTGAAGTGAAAACATCTTTAGCGGCGGTGTAGACTTTTTTTGGAAAGGGTAAAAAATGGTAAACTCACGTCAGGACAACTTCGTAAGACGGATGTTTTTTTAAAGGATTATGATCCTTCGTGCTATATAGTTATGGTTTTAATTCATTTGTCTCTTTCTTTAGATACATTGAAGCATGTGGAATTGGACCTTAAGTCAATAAATCAAGGTTTAATTTTGCGAAACGTCTAAAGCTTTATTATTAACAATTTGGTCAGACTGACGACGGATGGAGAGTAGACAGCTGGCGCGGCGTATTTAATGTAATATAAATTGTCATGTTTGTGTACGATAGCGCAATAAATAAATATTGTATTCTACCAGATCGAGATATTCTACCAGAGATAAATGATAGTACTTTTATACTGATAATTAAAGCAATTCGTGCAAAATTATTCCCTAACCATTCCAAAATATCAAAAATGCACAACGTTAATATTCAAGTTTTCACTTCTGCCGGCACTCCCGGAGTGCAACCCGTCGTTTTTTTTTATGACACACATTTATATAATTCAACTTCTTTTGGGCTGGCAGAGACTTTTAGTGCTATTAATAAAAAAATACTTTTAAATATAGCCATAACAATGTATTTAGTTTAATCAATACTCGTTTGAATGGTGAAAGAAAACATTATGCCTCAGAAAAGAGTCGACGGCGTGTGTCAGAAGGTAAAGAAAAAAATCACAAATACAGAAATCTGAGACTCAGACCTTAAAAGATTGCAGCCACTGTTTTTTTATAATAATTATTTATTTTTGTACATATATTATAATGACTTATATAGTATTTACAATTTTCTGAACCTACAAAGTAACAATAAAAAAATTATTAAAAAGAAAATAAAAACAAATTAAAAAAGTTTGGTCCCTGTGGCAGTGTACCTTTAACGCTGGCAGCTTTTCCTCGCTGTATTGCGATACTTATTCGTTGAGCGATGAAAGCACCAGCTCTGGGGTCACCGCTACTATCTACTAGGCGCCAACTAAAATCTTTAACAAGCGCCTGTGCACTTGAACCCCACGGCCCAAGAGTCTCTACTTCAAAGGGAACAAAATCAAAGTTGGAGGACGGACTCTTATATTTATTTGTGCCGTTTTTTATTACAAACTATTATTAATTATTAATTAAGGCCTATTTCATGTTCATATTAAAGGGAGACGTTCTGTTTGTTACCTTTGTCATACAAGTTAGAGATAGGCAAGGCAAGTATGTGAAAATCTTGTGTCGCCAAGAATCAATCCCATGGGATGACAAGGGCAAGGAAAGTGCTGCTCTGCGTCCGACCTAATGATCCTTGACCTGTCTAACCAGTGACTGGCCCGAAGGCTAAGGTCAAAACAGCAGCAGCAAAACAACAGCAGCAGCAGTGTTTGTAGCCATAGACTATAGGTGTCGTTACAACGCAACACGCGATTTATAAATAAATTTCTTTAAAAAAAAAACTCCAAAATGCACTTAGTCTCGCTAGAAATCCAAATTTTTTGACTGAATTTGAATTTTTTTAATCACGATTGACTCACGGACACCGAAGCTATGCTTGAACAAAGAACATACACAAAAATCATGTCGATTTGTTAACCTCCTACGTTTTTTTAAAGTCGGTAAAAAAAACGAACTCGTTTTAACACAGACTCTATCTCATAAAGCAATTAAAATATTCGACACAGCCATTTTACTAACTAAATATGTAATCTTAAATGCATTTTTTACTGTTGAATATTTTACTTGTAACCGTTATAACGCGAGTATGAATACGCGGTATTTAAGGGGAAGCCTATCTGAAGATGGTATTAAAATAACATTCTAATATATCAATAAAATCTCTTTAACGTATAATCAGGGAATAAACCTTTTTTTTAAGAAATTTCATTTACTCGCGGATACTAGAATCTCATATCCACCAATATATTATTAAACATATGTAATGTTCTTATTTATATTATATATCTTATTTATAGTTTATGGTTAATGGTTTGTGAACTCAGTTTCCGCACTTATCTCTCTAGACTCTCATTAGATTCAATGTGCTTAAACTCCTGGCTTACTAAGCCAGCCTAGCTCCTTCCAGGAGCATAGAAGTCTCCTTAACAGACTTCGCGGAGCGACCTCACTTTACTGACGATTTCTGTACGTTGAAGTAATGTAGTATCAAATCCAATATTTTAGTAGTCACATACGATAGATAATCCCAAAAAGGTTAGAGTATTGTTTTCATATCTCTTTTGTATAAAAACTTTAGTACTGAAAATTTAAGATACCTAATCTATCATCAATTTTAAATATTTTCACATTACGTAGATGTCACATACATCACAATTACAATTCATTCATAACTCAGTCGAACGTTAAAAAGGAAAAAAATGTAAATTTCCCTAACACACTTCCCCTTAAAAGAAAGATTTCACTGGCGCACGGCAGCACGCACACACAAACTTGTATTTGTCCCGTTCATTTACCTATTTCCTGTATTTTCCGTCTCTTTCCCGCAGTGTCATTGACTCTGGCGCACTATTCTGTTGCACTAAGCTTGTTTTTACAAACAGTGTCGAAGCTAAAGCTTGTATACTAATATTTTGTCATTCAAAAGATCGAATTAAAGATTAAGTAACATTAAGACAAGAAGTAGATTCTATTGTACTAACCGTTCAATTATATAAGAATTTTATCTTTTATTTTTCGCAATATTTACAAGTGTTTAAAACTAAAAACTAATCGTAAAATATATCGCTAAGCGTAACTCGAAGACGGCTGGACCAATTCCAGTAATTTTTATGAAGAGAAAAATTGTACGAAAAAATAAAACGAACCCGTTTTTATTCCAGAAAAGTGAACAGTGTCTATGGTATATAGTTCAATGTTCCTTATGTTGGTGTGTACCTACAAAAAGGGAGGCTAAGTAATAAATATCGAGACGAAACGAAATTCGCAAGGCCTGTTAGTTAATAATAAAACAACCTTTTAATAGTGACCTCCTTTTAAACCTCTACTTTTTAAGCATTACTTGTCCACACAGTATCCCTTATATAATATAGGAATAATCACATAGTATTGTCTTTGATTAACATAACTTTTATTCATTTAATAAAACACTATTTTGACCGGATTGAAGTTATGTATTATTATAAATTTAAAACTATTTAACATAATTTTAAATTTATCCGACGTTTCGCGTGCTTTACAGCGTGCGTGGTCACGGTGACCGTTATAATAATACATAACTTCAATCCGGTCAAAATAGTGTTTTATTAAAGGAATAATCACTTTCATATCATGGTTCTTTTTTTTATAAAAATGTATTTATTCATTGTCCTATGTACTTGACATATGCATTACAATCTGTAAGATTTGGGAACCCTTTTATGTTTAAAAATACCATTGTCAGGGTTCCCAGTTCTTCCATAATAAACTTAATTATAAATTCCTAAAAAATATATGTATATATATACTAGTGGACCCCACAGACGTTGTCCTGCATGATATTTAAAGCGATTAGGATATTAAGCAAAGTATGAAAGTACCGACTGCAGTGCCATCTGCCGCGCTGATTTGTGAATCTAAACCATTCCCAGATCCCCTTGAACACACACAAAAAATTTCATCAAAATCGGTCCAGTCGTTTGAGAGAAGTTCAGTGACATACACACTCACAGAAGAATTATATATATATATATATATATATATATAATTTTAAATTAAATCAAGTTAAATTGGTTATATATTACCAGACCAGATAGCAAAGGAAGATATCGCTCGAATGCGATAAGGTCTGATCCCCTAGTTATTGCAAATAATTAACTTATATTATTTAAATATTCATACTGTTTTTTGCAACGAAATATTAAATAAATATATAAAAGTCTGAACAGATAATTACAATAACAACGAGATAATAAATTAATCTTTAATCAAAATTAAGTCATTGAATTACACATGTATATTGAATATTATGTCGATTATAGTTCTTAAAACTCGGCTTAATAATCGTCAATCCTAAATAGGCTTTGAAATATTTTGTTTACTTAAAATATTTATGGTAAATACTGAATTATAATATAAGTGGTATATATCTTCGCATTTAGCAAACGCATTGAACATTATTCTTTCTTTTCCTTAATCTTTCTCATTATAGAAAGTGAGTCAAACCTATTAATTAATGCAACATTTAATAATATTTTATTTTATAGCATAGTTAATCTGTGATAGGCCGTAATAAATAGAAATGAATATTATATCAAACAGTTCTGTCAATAAATTAATTCAATCAAAAAGTTAATACCACATTCACCAGACTTCCATCCATCAAGGTGTAGCCTGGAACGGACACGGTCACTGGACATTTTGTTTTGTAAACTAGCAAATTGTGGAATCTCTCCGTAAACCCTCACGCGGAGATTCCAGAGAGACCCCTTCCCTGGGAGATACGACCTCAAACTGGTTAAAACAAGATTATACACCTCCCTCAAAAGGCCGGCAATGCACCCACTAAATTGGGTGTTCATGGTCTGCCCCCGTAACCTATAAAAACAATAATAAGAATTTTAGTTAGAAGGGGTAAAAATAATTTAAATGTTTAAACTTCTGTACCGGTAATAAACTTACGTAATTTACGCAACGACGATTCAGGAGTTCATCCTTTCTTTCTATTAAAGTGCACTGCCGCGAAACGAAGTAATTAAACTTAATACTAATCATATATACCGATATTAAACGAATCTTATCAGATATTTACGTTCCATACAAAACGCTATCGTAAATACAATAGCCAGTTATTGTATAACATGACGCGAGCTGTGAAAGTGAAACGCGTTACCGTCAGCAAATAACTCAACTGAAAATTGTTATTGTCACAGTCATTTTCAATATAACATATGAATTTATCAAAGCATGAACGTAATATATATGTGAACATGAAAACAAAAGGCATTCGTCAAGTACGTACGTCAACACAATGTCAGCTTTTGAAAGCTTCAAAGCTTCGACTTAGGGTCCTTCAAGAAAAGAGCGTACCAATTCTTAAAAGGCCGGCAACGCACTCGCGAGCCCTCTGGCATTGAAAGTGTCCATGGGCGGCGGTATCACTTAACATCAGGTGAGCCTCCTGCCCGTTTGCCCCCCGTTCTATAAAAAAAAAAAAAAAAAATCAATCGTTTTTCCCATACGTGCCTATTTCAGTTAATATTTGATACAATTTGTTTATTATTCAGTTGTTTACGAACTATGCGTTCATGTTTCGGTTTAGTTCCTAATGAGCCCAAGGGTTCTGCTGTATTTTTTCATTTAAAACCCTTTCCTTCCACATTAAGTCGAGTCAAATGTAGACTGAAACATCAAGAATTGTACACTGATTATCAACGATTTACATATATATGAATATTTAAGTGATATATTATATTCATATATATTCATTAATTAAGTAACGTCAACACAATATTTTTTAATCTAAAACTTAAAACCTTAAAAATATAATTTATTATTAAAAGGCCTAAAGCGTAGGCAAGGTTCCGAAGATGCTGGCAGCATTCCCCCTTTGAATAGGTAAAATAATTGATTAAGTTCTTAGGAAATTTAATAATAAATGACCGAATAATTGTATTGCCAAACACTGAAACTGATTCAAAGCGTCATATTGACTGTTATTGAACAATTTCATATTTTTCCAGAAATGATCTTTTTGCTTGAAGCCACTTTTACTACCTAGGGTCCTAGATATTGAATTTCCGTAGCTCAGTAAGGATTTGTTTAATCTAGTGTTTTCAGATAAAACCTAAAGATCTTCTTTTTTATTCACGGCGTAGCACATACCTGTTAAACTCCATTCTCTAGCTTTGGAATGGGACGATTTTTATAGCAGTTGTAATGTTATCATTAACAAAACATTTATTTAAAATTCTTATATATTATGTAAATATGCTTATGATTGTAGATTTGCGTTCTTTTTCCTAACTTGCTTGTGTATCTTCTATTTCTATCTTTTCTTGAACCGAATTCTTTATTTAGCCGCTGAACTGTACATGAAATATATTCTAACATCTGGTGATGGTGTCTTAATTATTTCCGATCACTAAGCTATCTTCATACAATTCATTCATTCTTTTTTAAACACAGATGCCAACGTACCACATCGAGCTCACAAACGAATCGACGAATGGAAAAAATATTACCAAAAAAAACCAATTGTAATCAGAAAACCGATGTTCATACAAAAAGAGGCAAAGAAAAGAAATTCCATTGAATACCAAAACGCGACAGTACCAGAATTCAAACCGATATCAGACGCTCAAATAACGAAAATAAACGAAATAATGAATGATATACTCAGTACAAAGCCTACCAATTATCGAAAAGGCAAGCTTATTGATAGCGAAACGAGCGAAACAAGAGATACAATAACCAACTTGCCAGAGAAAGACAGAAAGTACGATGATGGTTGTCCTCAAGGAGGAACTTGCGAATTTTTTGTATCCTGTTGGATGAAAGGTGGACTGTTAGAGGGTTCCTGTGGCGGTTTGCTAAAGAGTTGTTGTCACAGAGTGGCTAAATCTGGTATACTTGGAGTTCAAGATTCGAATAGCATTGAATCGCCTTTTGAAGGATTCAGTTATGGCCCAGTCATAAACGATGACAGTAAGTTCATTTGGATTTTGTCACACCGTTGCGTAACATTAGAATCGTTGTTATCTCCGATTTGCATAATCCAAGACTAAAAGATCTAATCTTCAACGTATTTCGTAATAATTATCTCAAATAGTTTGTTGTGCAATGAAAAACTTTAAAATGCAGTAATGAAAGTAAATTAAAATTGAATTCTGCTTTTAGTTCCTGGTATAAAGGATGTATTATCAACATTCGTTTTAATAAATGTTTCCTTTGTTCATCTAATTATATAATTATGTAAATAAAAATCTTAGTAAAAGATGCTACTAATTAGCATAAAACATGAAAAATAATAATTTAAATAATGAAAGAGGTTCTATACAGTTAAATAGTCTTAAAAATGTAATTCAGGAAGTAGTTCTGTCAAACTATTGGCGTGTTAATAAGAAACCTGTCGATCATTAGGATAACAAACAGACATATTACTTAAATATATACAGTAGAAAACTAGAAAATAAAATCTATAGACTACAAAAATCAGCAAAATTCGCCAAATTTTCGACTGGTTACGTAACGGTGTGATTTACTGGACCTAACGGACTAACAGAGCTCATGTGGTCGTGGCAAGACATAGGTAGAGAGTTCCAGACAACGTGACGTCACAGGTATATATTATATATATTTCTTTCAGCTCTTCTAACTATGTCTTGCTTCCTCACATCTTTAACTTAACAAACTAATCCGCTTTCTTTGCATGCTTTCGAACAGGAATATGGTAAGTGCTTTTTTCATTATTATTTTAAATATAAAATAAATTATGATTCTTTATGGTATAAAAATGCTTTTTGTGGTATTTGTATATATTTAGTCACAATCGTTTTTCAAAACTGTAAGCCACATAATTGTTGTTAACCTAGAATCGAACCCGGACTTGAATTGCGTTAATTAAACCAGAAAAGCATTTTTTCATATAAAATACACGTTCCGCGCTCATCTTTTATTACGAAAACGTTTTTGTTCATATTAATAGCAATAAAAAACATTTTTATCCGAAAATCTTCAAGGTGACTCATTTACATGATTGTATAACAACACTTTCACTGGCGCCAACGCGTGACGTGCGTTTAGGGTGTTCATACACGAGCTATGAGGGTCCAACGAACTTCTTAGTGAAGGTTCACTTTGACCAATACCTACTCAATATTTTGCTTAGCGTCAACAAATAGTCACTGAACAGTCGCGTTTCTCTAAATTAGCCTCCTCGCTTGTATTGGTACATATAGAGACAGTCTAATTTTTTAAGAGTATCTAGGTGTTTTTTGATCAAGTCCAAAGGCCATATAGACCTCGTCAACAGACAGACAGACATAACATTTATTACTAACGAAACACACAAAATATTAAAAATAATAATCAAAAAAGAAAAATAACAAAAAATTATGGAAAGAAAAAAAAGGAATAAGGTACAAGTGTGTAATGTATGTGTTGTGGTAGTAACTGGCCGTGGCTCATCATTAAGCTGTGGAGCAGAATGTTCCACAGCGCTGGTCATTCTGCCAGAGACCACAACGGTTAGTTTGCGCCTCATACGCAAAAAATGAAAATAATGTAATATTAATAATAGTACAAAAAATAATAATAGAAAAATTAACAGTGTAAAAAAAGAAGTCTTGGAAGATTTGTGTGTAAAAGTATATAGTAAATAAAAAAATGTGTGCGTGTACTAGGTGTACACACGTAAGAAGTGAAACTTAAATAAAACCTTTGTTGTACGCAGAGCCATAATTGGTTTGTTTTAAGTTTAGAGGTCCGAAACTATTTCTTTAAACACAGTAAATTTTGATACACTGCCTAGCATACAATTTACAAATTAATTGCTGCAAATTGCGATTAGCAAATTTCAAGTCGAAAATGTAATCCGTTGTCAAAATTCAAAGTCAAAATCATACTATATGTCATATTTTAACGTCGTTAAAGAAGTTTGACTTCGAAAATGTAATCCTTTATCAAACTTCAAAGTCAAAAACATACTATATGTCATATTTTAACGTCGATAAAGAAGTTTGACTTCAAAAGGCAACATGGCGCGTAACGGATAAATGTGACGCGTAACGCAAAAATGTTACACTAAATTTTTTTCCAACCCCGATAAAGAAGTTTCACTTCAAAAATTAAAAAAAATTATTAGTAAAACTACTATAAGAATTAGATAAATAAATATTTTGGGGCGGATTAAAAGTAGATTTCGTGGTAATTTTCTGGGCGCAATTCACAAGCAACCAGCCGCCCCAAGTATCATCGTGCCTTTTGAAGAACCCTCAAGACCCTTTATGCTCGTCTCTAACGTAATGGAGCAGTGTTGGCTTTCGAGTAACTCCCTACCTACAAATAAATACATACAGAGAACTAAGTCGGCCATTTTGTTCAACTCTGCAATGAGAATTTTCTATCGGCAACAGTTAAATTATTATTATTAAAGCTTTATTAATTATACAAGAATTGTTTGCATTTCATAGTAAATGTATTAGTTGTGTTAGTATAAGATCTAAAAATTATGGTTTAAGAGTGTTTTAGTATTTGTATTTGGCCGCTTTTAGGGTAAAAGCTTCTCCATATTTTTCCATTTCTCTTTGTCTTGAGCAGCATTTATCCAGCTTTCCCTTGGAAAATTGTATTACCTCACCAATCTATCTTTTCTTTTGTCGTTATCTCTCTTTCCAGTAGGTCCAGTCCTATATGTTGTTAGCATCCATGGACACTTGAAGCGTTAACTTATTCTGTTTTACACTTTGATTTAGTTTTAGTAATACTTATCATGTACGTCGCTAGACATCCTTATTACGCTGCGATTTGCACGCATACTTATAGAATTAAAGTCTGCGATAACATTTCTAATAGTATTATATATATATTTATATCTTCCAAAACCGCTTCCGAAATTTCATGACACCGTTCTATATTTCACCGGTTTTTACTAACATTAAATTTCTCTAAAGAAAGTTCATTAGGTCTTTAGGTATCCCAATTCAACAAAGCTGTTTAATGAATTAAATTTACTTACTTTTCAAAAAAAAAAGTTATTTGCTGTATATTATATGATATTTACATGATTGAGTGAGATGAATTTCACTTTCAATTTACCATCGAGCTCTTTGACAATGTGACTATCACTTAACAACAGGTGAGCCTCTTGCCCGTTTTCGCCAGTTATAGATATGAAAAAAAAGTAAAATATATTAAACGGAAAAAGTTCAATCACTGAAAAATGATTAAAATCGATCCAGTAGTTTTTATTTGTTCATTACTGCCCGTGCCCCGCACGCGTTAAATTTGGATTTTTTGATAAATCTCGTAGGATTCGCAATGTAAGCGGAAAAAATTTAATTATTTACGATTTACGACATCACATTAGAAACCTCAAAAATAACAGTATTTATCCATCCATATTTAATGGATGTTATTATACATATAAACCTTCCTCTTCAATCACTCTATCTATTTAAAAAAACCGCATCAAAATCCGTTGCGTAGTTTTAAAGACTTAAACATACATAGGGACGGAGAAAGCGACTTTGTTTTATACTATGTAGTGATAATTACATAGTAACCAGGTACCATACATACGTACGTACCTTATTTTTTTGCATTTGGTCTCTGTGCCAGAGTAGGTACTCTTAATACTGGCAGCGTTTCCCTATTGCATTGTGATATTTACACCTCCCGCTAAAATTTCATGATATTGATCTATATTTCACCCGTTTTTTTTAACATTAAAAACCTACTACGCCAACTAATAGAAGCTTTAATAACATTAATGTCCACGCGTGTGTAATGGTAGGTTTTTTAGAATGTTAAACAATTGTAATATATTCACAGAGCCCTATTTGGTGGTCCCTTTTGCGAAAATTATGAGAGTAAATTTTTACGATGCGCCCGCACACCGTCACAAAAACCGAAAAATCCGACCACCGTCACAAACTTCTAGCGCGTGTACATAAGTACACACACGTTTTTTTTCAATATTGCCTAATTTGCTCAACATGAAGGTCAGGATATTCTGTCAAAACATACCAATTAACGTGGGCATTCCCAAAAATGTAGGTTAGCGGAGATCCGCATGTCACAATACAAATTAAATAGACTTTGTTAACCAACTGATGTTGCAAAAATGACTCATAGCATATAAATCACTTAAGACATATTCAGTTTGCTGACTTTTTTATGTATAAAAAGTGTTAACTTTAAACACGTATCAAATTATATACCTTTTGAAATAGACTCGAAAGTATCAGACTTTTATATAATAGTCTGTGTAAAATTATGCTTTACTTTAAACAGTATTGGCCGTATTCTAAAAGACATATGTTTTAAAGATTATGATCCTTTCCAAAATATAATCGGTAACCATGGTAACTGACTTAATGTTTAGTCCACGTTTAGTATTAAGGCATACGATATTATCTTCTGAACTGCGCTGACGGCGGCTAGCATGAGTGTTTTATATAGTGATTAATTCATCTTATCATATCTTTTAGCTATGTTGGTAGTATGTATATTGTTTTGTTATTCTAGAGTGATTCCCTTTTGCTGTTTCTATGCCCAGCAAATAAATACTAGAATATTTGTCTATGGTGTCTAATTCATGATATTACTTTTAATACATTTTTCTTCATAAATAATTCAAAATAAGTAAATTAAGGTATTTTCATTATTTATTTATATTTTACGAGCTCGCAAAACTCAAAACATAACCAAACTTAACCATAGACATTTGGCTGATGAACCGTATAAAATTGACAGTGACATATGTCATTGATACGTCACGCTCATAACTCGCAGTCAGCTGTTGAGGAGAAATTTGACGATTCACCACGCCTCGTAATATTAGGTATGGTTACAAATAATAATAAGTTAATTTCCAAGTACCTTCGTGGTTTAACGAAGTAACTCGGTGATTTTAGTTTCTCTCAGACCTGCTTACTAATGACAAGAAACAAGAGACATAGACACATAGTCTTGACTCCAACGCCTGAGTGTGAAATTACAATAATTCCTAAAAGTATGTGAGAATCCTTTTTTTATTTTTAGATTTGATGACTTACTTCACGTA